TGTCACTTTCAGCCTCCGCTTTTGCCTCTTCCATTTCTGTGTCACTCGCAGCCTCAGCGTTTTCCTCTTCGTCTTCTTCGTCATCAGTCATTTCATTTATAGCATCTGTGATAACTTCCTTAACCTCTGTTTTTCTATGCGAGAGATCCACATCAAAATGGCCACCTGATGTTATTACAAACAGCAATACGTTACCATAAAGCTCCTCAACATTTGGAAAGTATAGGATTGCAAAATAAATCAGAGAACATACTCAGCTTCTGCAGAATATCTGATAATGTTGCCTGTTATTCAGAGAAAAAAAAAAAACAATTGAGTATAAGAACTGTGATAATTCTGTTTTGACCTTTGGATTTTAACCAGTTTCAGCGAATTGAACTATCTCACCGTATTGAAGTCGACTTCCTTCAGAATATTGGTCACCACTGCAAGCATCTCTTCTCTGGTGGGCTCTGCCTTTCCTTTCTTAGCGGCTTTTCCTGTATCCAATCAAAGATAATAGGTAAAACCAGTAAAGCAACGAGCGTCAAAAAGAGTAATTTCCTTCTTTTTTTTAAAACAAAAAAATGAACAAGGCTTAAGCTTTAGAAGCAGCTGAGAATGGTTGTAACCTTTGTCTTTAGATCCCTTAGCCTGTGTCTTACTTGGCTGTTTCTTGCTTTTCTCTTTAGAAGACTCGTCGTGATCAACTTTTTGCTTCTTGGCTGGGGATGAAGCTGACTTGGCACCTTTTTTGGAGGACGTTTCACCAGATTTTTTAGAACCTTTGGCAGAAGCTTGTTTATCCTTGCCTTTGGTCACTGCGCTCTCCTCTACAGTCTTTTTCGATGAGCGTTTCTTATCAGATGGCTTTTCATCTTCTGCTTTGTCTTTCTCATCTTCAGTTTCAGTCTCTTCATGGTCACTTTCTACTTCTGGTGCTGCATCATCTTCTTCATGAGAATCCTTAGTGCCTTCAGAATCAGAATCTCCCTCATCCTTGCCTTCTTCTGTGCCAGATGGCTTATCTTGCTTTTTAGTTTGCCTTCTCCTCTGTGAAGTAACAAAACATACTCACACAAGGGATGTTTGTAAAGCCAATGTTCAACAGCTAATACATCAATTAGCATAGATGAAAAAAAAAACAGCATATAACAATTATAAATTATAATCCAGCCATATACAATTAGAAACAAAATTCACATCAGCCAAACGAGGAACAGGTAAGAAACCAAAGCTAGAAAAGAAGCTCATGGTAACAACTATCAGTCAGTAGCATGCAAGGTATACAAACTTTACTACAAATCTGTGATTTAGAGATAAGAAACTACAAACCTTGGCTGAGGTATCTGGAGACTCTCCAGATTTCCCCCTTTTTGGTGTGCTCTTGCGCTTTTTGGCTTGCTAAAATATATAAATCAAGAAGGAAGAAAAAGAATTCAATTCTCCCATACTGACGACACACATGTAAAACAATAAGGTACTGAATCATTAACCCAAAAGAAAAAATGTACCTTTTCTTGATCAGCAACTATAACATCTCTTGTTGCCTTGGGAGATTCCAAAAATTCAAGCACCTTGACAGCTAGTTCTTCCTGACAGTATCAGGACAGAGGGATTCTTAAAAAAAAATAGACAAGGTACAATAAAATAGATAAACCATATCTTCTTATCAGTTATCACTTACTTTCTTTATGTTGCTTTTGTTTATAGGTATATCAAGCACATCACAAAAAAAGACTAATTTTTCTTTTACGCACTTGTCAAGCTTCTCCTTTGCTCGTGCTCTTTGCTTCTCCTCCTGAAAAACATTTATATACAAGTCTCAACACAAGGCAAATCAGCATACACATCTCTGTAACAAAATAGAAAAGGAAATAGTTATACCTCTTTCTCTAACCATACAAAGCCAGAGAATTGACCAATGTTTCTCTTAATCATCTGTGCCTGCAGGGCAATTTTCACAAAACTCTTTTAAGTAACCATGCACTCTAGCAAAGAAACAACAAAAAACTCCAAACATACATCTATACAGGGACAGCTTGAACAGAAAGTATTCATATCAAATGTGATCAAACTTTTAAACCACCTTTGCTTTCTTCCCATAAAGAATGGTGTGTAGTAAGATCAGGTTCTCGTCAGCTTTTCTCTTGGATAGTTTATAAGCCACTGAAACACCAAACATTATCAGACAGTTTTCTAAAGGGAAATAAAATGTAAACATGACTCTGTAAAAACTGAACTAAACTTTCCACCCTTAAGTTAGATAACTAAACAAGAAAAGGAAAGAAAGCCAGAACAATTTGTTATCTTTACATCAACCACAGTGCAGAGTATCTCTAGATAGCACAGTTAGCTACCAAAAGAGAAAACCAAATTGAAATCCACTGAAGCAAAACCAAATCACATACACTAGTTAATATGCTAATGCTCCAAGATGAAATTTCCCATCAGAAAGTCAGGGTATTGGTATCCAACTGGTATCAAATTGGTAAAAGTAACAGAATCCAGGTCAACCAAAAGCCCAAGCTTGTCTAATAAACTGGTTCCATCCATAACCATACCAATGCAGAAAGGAAAATTCTCACAGCTATATCATCTTCTAGATCTAAGATGTGTCAAACCAGCAAAGATTGTTTGTTATTCTTCTTGACAACATTTCACAAGAATTCAATCAAGACAAGCACAAATAGAAGCTACGCACATACATACCATTTGGAATTTCCCTGAGCGGTGTTCCACGTCCCTGAGG